ATTTTTGAGGAAGATTAACCCTGAGCTAACATCTGCTGCCTAGTCTCCTCTTTTTGCTGAGGAAGACTGGCCCTGAGCTAACATCTGTGCCCATCTTCCTCTACTTTATACGTGGGATGCCTACCACAGCATGGCTTGCCAAGCGGTGCCATGTCCCTACCTGGGATCTGAACCAGCGAACTCCAGGCCTCCCAAGCAGAACGTGTGCACTTAACCGCTGCGCCACTGGGCCGGCCCCTAATTTTATTTTAAAATGACACATCAATGTGCAGGCTGTTGTTGCTTAGCTTTAATAAGAGCGTTAAACTGTCAGGTGACCTTTGACCCACCTCCTTCCATTTATTGATGGACAAACTATGTAGGTAGGGGATCCTGGAGAGCGATTAATATGCCTGGGTCACCAATGTGAGAACATGAGTCATCACTGTTTGGTGGCTGAACATCTGCTGGGTACGGAGTTGCCTGAGACTGGCTAGCGAGGTTGCAGGAGCACCAGACGAGAAGATTTCCATCACATGTATTCAGCAGGAAATTTAATAATTATCTTAACTTAGAAGTGATGAATGAATATAGATGATATTTTGAGATGTCTGTAACAACTGCAGTGTGATGTGAATATCCGTGATTTCCACTGGTGACAAAGACACAGGTACTGCTTCTGTGGCTGTGATTTGCTACCTGTATTCATAACTGAAGAAAATGATCAGTTTCAGCGGAAGGCTGGTGAAAATAAAGATGTAATTACTTTCCTATGAGTTCACAGACCCCCTGAATTCTATCTGTGGCCCCCAAGTCAAGGATGTAAGTCATCTGTTCCCACCCGACCCAGAGGTGAGATCAATGTTACCCAACTTCTAAGGGCTGGAAAATTCCAGTATGATAAAAGGAAGGTGGGGGATGGGTGCCAGGAAGACCACAAAAGAATGTCCTCTACATCCGATTTCTGTGGATCTTTCATGCATGTGTCACGATCAGTCCTAAATACTTCCCTGGTTTTAGCACTGACAGTCCTGTCCCTCAGTTCTGGGCAAACCAGGATGGTTAGTCTCCCTAGTTATCCAGCCTTCTCTGTAATCTCCGGGCTTCCATGAGTTTATGAATTCAGCCTCATCTGCCTGAACTTCCGCTTAACCCAGCAGGCCGTATCAAACGGGACAGCGGGTTAGAATCCAGAAAACCGGCTTCATGCTCAGGTTCATCCATCTGAGTCTTACTCTCCGGGACTTGTGAAATCATTTTATCTTACCACATGGAACTCGCAGCCGGGTCATGAAGGAGTAAGAGGGTCCTCTCTTCCTTTTAGAATGTGAAGCCAGGGGCAGCTCTGAGCTGTCAGAGAGCAGGTGCTGACACTTCCCTGCCCACTTCAGCATTAGCACAGGGATTTTCTGCGCTGGGAGCAAATCTTTGAACCAAAGGCCCCGGTTTCCTTATCTGAGAAATGTAATGATTGGAGGAGATCAGATAGTCTGAGCCTGCAAAATTGCTTGATGAGAGAAAGAAGGAAATAATAACTTTCACTTGATTCTCAAAATGGTCTATGATCAAGGAACGGTTCAGATCCCCAGGATCAGATGGTTTCTAAAAGCCGTCCTAGACATTCCATCATCACCAGCAAGTGGTGACATCATAGGGTGACAAGCTGTCCTGATTTGCCCAGGACTGAGGGATTTCCTGGGATTCAGGACTTTTGGTGATAAAATCAGGATAGTGCCAGGCAAACTGGGGGATGGTTAGTCAACGTAAGCACCATTACTACCATCGTTACCATCAGCAGCAGCACTCCATCTCCAGCATCATCATAGCCTTCACCATCATAACCACCGCCGTGAGTACCATCACCACCGTTGCCACCACCGTCATCCTCATCACCACTGTCGTTTTCATCATCATCAGTCATTTTCATCTATAATTTATTGGACTCTTACTGTGTGCTAAATGTTTTACATGCGTTATCTCATAACTTCGTTACAAGGCAGTAAGGTAAGGACTAGTTCTTAAGAACTCATGCTTAGGAATTGACTGTGTTCAACTCTTGGGTCTGTCACTTACCAGTTGCAAAGCATGGCAAGTTATTTACCCTCTTTGAGCATTATTATTTTTTTCATTCCTAATACCTCCCCCTCTCTCCTTGTTGTACATCTCTGTCTCTAACACTGGATTTCAGGGTGCTTGAGAGAAAGCAGTCTGTTTTATTAATTTTTCTCTGTCCTTTTACCTCACTCGAGAAACTGATATAGAAGAAACATCTGTAAATAACAATAATTGTTATAATAGCAGCTAATAAATTTTTTTGAGCACTTACTTTATGCCAGATTCTGTTCTTTTTTTTTTTTTTTTTTTTTTTTTTTTTTTAAGATTTTATTATTTCCTTTTTCTCCCCAAAGTCCCCAGGTACATAGTTGTATATTCTTCGTTGTGGGTTCTTCTAGTTGTGGCATGTGGGACGCTGCCTCAGCGTGGTCTGATGAGCAGTGCCATGTCCGCGCCCAGGATTCGAACCAACGAAACACTGGGCCGCCTGCAGCGGAGAGCGCAAACTTAACCACTCGGCCACGGGGCCAGCCCCCAGATTCTGTTCTAAGCACTTCATATGTATTAACTCATTTCGGGTTTGGTTTGTTACATTACATATAAACAAAAAAGATCAAAGAAAAAGAGTGGAAAACAGAAAACACAAAATAATATGGTACATTTTATTGTATGGAAATTATATCTCAATAAAGTTAATATGAAAAACAAAAAATAAGATAGTAGAAATAAATACAGGTTTGTCAGTAATCACCATAAATGTAAATGGATTAAATTTACCAGAATTTCTTAGATAGGATTTTTTTTTAAAAAGATACATCTACGTACTATTTGCAAGAGTCACACCAAAAACACAGTGATACAAAAGAGGAAAGTGGGCCCATGGTGCAGCGGTTAAGTTTGCTTTCTGCTTTGGCAGCTCGGGATTCTCCAGTTCAGATCCTGGGAGCAGACCTATGCACCGCTTATCAAGCCATGCTGTGGTGGGCATCCCACATATAAAGTAGAGGACGATGGGCATGGATGTTAGCTCAGGGCCAGTCTTCCTCAGCAAAAAGAGGAAGATTGGCAGCAGATGTTAGCTCAGGGCTAATCTCCCTCAAGAAAAAAAAAAAAAAAGAGGAAAGTAAATTGATGGAAAAGACATTAATAGGTGGATACTAACCTAAAGAAAGCTAGTATATCAATATTGATACAAACAAATAGATTTTCAGGCCAAAGTCTTTATTATGGAGGTATGAGAGTCATTATTTAATGATAAAAGAAACAATTCACTAGGAAGTTATAATAAACGTAAACATTTATGGACCCAATAACGTAGTCTCAAATTACATAAAGCAAAAATTGACAGACATACAAGGAGAAAGCCACAAATCTACAATTAGAATGGGATTTTTAGACGTATCTCTTCCAGTAAATGGTATATCAAACAGAGAATAAAAACAGTAAGAATAAAGAAATGTGAATGACATATTCAACAACTACTGGAGATACTGAGTAGGGAAATAGATTCCTTAAAAATTAGTCATTAAGGCTAATGACATTTTGTGCTGGTAAGATGTTGAGAAATAGGAACTTACATATTTCTGTTGGGAGTATATCCTGGGGCCACGGTTTGGAGGGAAATGTGGCAATATTGGGTAAACTCGAAGATGAGCACGTCTATGATCTGGCAATTCCATCAATAGACGTTTACCCTAGAGAAACCTCCCCCATGTGCACAGGGAGACACGCACACGGATGTTCATTGCAGCTCTGTTTATGACAGTGAAAGTGTGAAAAACTTCATCAGCGCAGTGGCTAAGATTCAGTGCTCTCACTGCCACAGCCTGGGTTCGTTTCCCGGTCAGGAAACCACACCACCCATCTGTCGGTTGTCACACTGTGGCAGCCGTGTGTTGCTGTGACACCGAAAGCTATGCCACCAGTATTTCAAATACCAGCAGGGTCACCCATGGTGGACAGGTTTCCGTGGAGCTTCCAGACTAAGACAGACTAGGAAGAAGGACCTGGCCACCCACTTCCAAAAAAACTGGCCATGAAAACCCTATGAAAGCAGCGGAACATTGTCTGATACAGCGCTAGAAGGTGAGAGGGTGGTGCAGAAAGACCCGGCAGGCTTCCACTCTGCTGTCCACAGGGGCGCCAGGAGTCAGATTTGACTCGATGGCACTAACAACAAATGATACCATTTATGTTGAATTTTTTGAAATGCACAAAATAATGCTCTATATTGTCTGTGGATACATACACAGTAGAAGTACAAAATGTGCTTGGTGATGATCCTCAGCAATTTAAAGATTTCTCTGGGGAAGGAAGGAGAAGGGAAGGGGTCTTGGCCACAAGACTACCAACCCTAGCTCTAACCCTAACCAGGATGGGTGTTGAGCAAGTGGGGGTTGGTTCCTCCTCATCTCTGTTGGGTATTAGTCAGACTCCAGGAGGACACTTGCTCTGCTGTCTGTCAGGTGCGAATCGGGGCTTGTGGTCTTGGGCAAGTCCCAGGATTTCTCTGGACCTCAACTTTCCCGGCTGTGAAATGAACTAAAGGTGTTTGCCCTAGAGAACAGCAGACCCAGGTGGACTCAGTCTCGCCCTTTGCATGGCCAGAGGCTTGTCACGGGGAAGAGAACTGGCTGATTCGCACTGTGTGGCTTCAAAGAGCAGAGCTGGAAGCAAGAAGTAGGAGTTCAAAATAAACTGCTTTCCATCAGAGCTGCCGTTCAAGAACTGAAAGGGGGTGAGCTCTCTGTCTTTGGGGGTGTGCAAATAGAGTTAGCTAGATAAACATGTGGAAGAGAACTTGGAGAGGGAATTCTTGTTCTGGGAGGAGTGACTGACGTCCCAGGGACCCTCCAAAGTCCTTGCTGACTCTGAAAGTCTGGCTGTAAGTATCTGTGATTCTAAGTTTCTGTAATTATATGCACCTACCTACCTGTCAGGTAACTTTTATTTACTCTCTTCTGCAGATAAGGAAACTGAAGCCGTGAGAGAACAAGTAACTCTTACAGAAAGGCCCTTACATGTGGCCCAAGATCCCACGTCACTGTCAGGTGACAATTTTCCCTCCCAGGGGAAGCAGATGGAATGAAAGATTGTGAGTGGCTTGTTACGCAACTTATGCGAGGGCTGCAGCACCATTCTGCGAAGGTGGGTGAGGATCTATGATGTGAAGGAGAATTACATGGTCTGGAGGCCCCTTGTTGAAAATGTCTTTCTGCTGGATAATTGCCTGGCGTTTAAACGCTCTCGTCAACATCCCTTGGTTTAGTCATCCTGCTTGCTAATCACTCTGTTAATGTCCACCTTGCCTTCCAAGACTTTGCACATCACTGTCCCAGTTCAGGTAAAAGGAATCTCTGATGTCACTAGAGGCCCTGAACTTCTACCCTGAGTGACACAACGAAAGGGAGGTGGCCCTGTCCCCAACCTTCCCAGTGACCTGGAAGCTCCAGGAGGGTTTGGCTGTGAGTGGTGGGTAGGACCCCCTGTTGGCTTCCATTGCCAAGTGGACTACACCAGCTCTGGTGATCGAATGCTGTCACGTGACTGAAGACCTCCACCTTCAGACTGGGAGCAAGTCTGCTCTGTAATTAAGAGGGACTAGAGGGCTCCTGGTAGCACAGGATTTTTGGTTCATTGGAATCAAAAACAAAATATGATCTGGTACCAAGAGGAAGTTAGGTCCTATTGGGTTGACCCTAAAACATTTGGAATTGCATTTGCTGGGTCTGAGATGCCAACAGATCTTGACGCAAGGGGAGGGAAACCAGCAAGCTCAGATTCTTGATGGCAGGCTGGGCGTGGTCAGCGGGGAATGGGACTCCTCTGCCCCTTTCTGCTGCCACCAGTAGCTGGAGCCTGTGACGGGAAATAAGAGCCCAGGAGTCAGCCTGAGGCGGGAGGATAGAAGCAGCAAGTCACCCTGCCATGAGAGGCTGCCCTCAAGATCTTGTCTCTGCCCGGTGGCCCCAAGTGGACCAGGGTTTTGCTTCTTTTTGCTTTTTCAGTTGTGGTAAAATAGAGATAACATAAAAATTTACCATTTTAACCCTTTTTTGAGTGGACAATTCAGCGGTATTAAGTACATTTGCATTGTTGTGTAACCATCCCCACCATCCATCTCTGGAACTTTTCTATCGTCCCAACCTGGAACTGTGAACTAGATAAACGATAACTCCCCCCTTCTCAACTCCCTACCCCACCCCTGCTGGTAACCACTGTTCTACTTCCTCTCTGTATGAATTTGACTACTCTAGGTACTTCCTGTAAGTGGAACCATACAGTATTTGTCCTTTTGTGTCTGGCTTATTTCACTGAGAATAATGTCTTCAAGGTTTATCTATGTTGTAGCATAGGTCAGTGCTTCATTCCTTTTTATGGCTGAATAGTATTCCATTGTATGGATATACCACATTTTGTTTATTCATTCATCCATTGCTGGACATTTGGGTTATTTCTACTTTTGATTATTGGGAATATTGCTGCTATGAACATGGGTGTAAAAATATCTGTTTGAGCCCCTGTTTTCAATTTTTTTGGATATATACGTAGGCATTGCTAGATCATGTGGTAATTCTATGTTCAATTTTTTGAGGAATTGCTATAATGTTTTCCACAGTGGCTGTACCATTTTTCATCCCCATCGGCAACAGACAGGGGTTCCAATTTCTCCACGTCCTCACCAACACTTGTTATTTCCTACTTTTGGGATAATAGCCATCCTGACAGATGTGAGGTATATCTCATGGGGTGGACTGGGTTTTTAAACCATGAACAGGTGCTCTCCCTGACGGCACAGTGAACATGGCTGTGGCCAGAGGACAGTTGTCATGGGCACCTGGATGGTGAGTAAGGAGCCTGGCATAGTGAAACCCCTGTCCTGGTCTCTGGCTACCTCCCCAGTGGGTGCTTGATTGTGGAGGGATGGAAAACCATCTCCACACCTGGAAATCCAATGATCAGGCAAACCATTCACAGAGTCCTCCCCATGTCAGTGCAAAAAGAGGCTGGGTCTAAGATGAGGTGGTTTTTTAAAAGTCTTGATTTATCAAGAGGAATTTGGAAAATCCTGAAGATCTTGGAGATGGGGAGAATTATAGAGAAGCTGGAGAATGTTTCATCTGGAAGAAGAAGTTGCTTTGAAAAATTTTTTTTTAATTTTGGATAACTCAGAGGAGCCAAACTGGTTGCATGTGGAGGTTTAAAAATGTGAATTTTAAAATGTATACTCTCTCACGGGCAAGGGAATCTGTTTCCTGAGTAAAGTTCTCTGGTGTTGAAACACTGTGACTGATGTCCACAGGGTGAGAGCTGGCTGGGTGAAGATGTTTCAAAGCGTCAGAAATATTTATTTACTCGGGAAGCCATCGTATAAGTAAATTATTAAGGCTACTTAATTGGATCCAGTAATATTTTCATTGTTAGGATTATGAGACTTTAAAAAAACTTTTCATTATGAAAAATTCCAATCATATAGAAAAACAACAAGAATGGCGTAATAAACATCCATATCACCACTGATGTAAAATTTGCCATATTCTACCTATCTATCTATCTATCTATCTATCTGTCTAACACTGTTTTCCTGGAACTCTTCAAAGTAAAGACATCCTGTCACATAACCGCTAATTATTTCAAGGGCATCTCCAAAAGAGAAAAAAAAAGGACAGTCTCCAAGATGACCCCAATATTATTATCTCATCTAAAAAAGTAACAATAATTCCCTAGTATCATCTAAAACATAGTTCATTTCAAATTTCCTCAGTTTTACCCAAAATGTCTTCTATGGCTAATGTTTTCAAATTCTGCTCTAATCACCAACCAGGAATTCCAGTTAATTGTTGTGCGTCTGAATTCTCTTTAATAGCTCCCCGTCCTGTGTCCTCCCATGAGGCTGGGAGAGTCATCGCATACCACGCCACATTCTGGATGGGTCTGATTGTTTCCTTGTGGTGTCGGTTAATTTGTTCCTCCATCTCCCATATTTCCCGTAAACTGGGATTTATGTCCATAAGCTTGATTAGATTCAAGCTGAACATCCTTGGCAAGAACAAACCATTCGTGGGTAGTGACGAACTTCATCTCGAAACATGTCTATTTCTTGGCCAGGTTGAATGTGGGGACCATGCGTGCTCCAGGTGATCTGTGGTTCCCAAGTCGATCAATGAAAAATGACTAGATAATTCCAGTGTCCTTATGAATAAAATTGTTTCCATATTACACAATTTGTGTTGTGAAAATTGTAACCCCGTTCTTCTTCAGAATATGTTTTCACTCAGAGGACTAGAGCTGGCAGGTCACCACCGAAAACTAACACAAAGTGGGAGGGCACTTCAGTGAAAGCGCTAAGGGCAGTGGTTGTTTGAGAGGCTAAAGTCTTGAAAAAGAAAACAGAGGAGAGTCTTAGAAGGCTTAAAACTGCTTTTTACAAAATCCAAATAGTATCGTGAAAATGATACAAATTACAGAGAACGTTTCACGTAAACTTTTAAGGTAGAATTTTATATCAATTATCCATGTGTTCTATGTTTAATTTAACCACATATTACAACATGGTCTGTTTTTCTTATAATTCGGTGTATTGCTATCTTTTCTGCCATTCTTGAGTGGTTTGAGAGGGATTAGGGTTTTAAAACACTGAAATAATGAATACTGTGTATTTCCGAAGTCTCTAGAAAACTGAAGTTCACCACTAAAGTGATCTATGACAAAGGAATGAGTGATGGGGAGATTAAAAGGAAATTAAAAGAAATAATTTCAAATAGGGCCAGCCCAGTGGTGTAGTAGTTAAGTTCGCGCACTCTGCTCCAGTGGCCCAGGGTTCTCAGGTTCGGATCTTGGGCATGGACCTGGCACCTCTAGTCAAGCCACCCTGTGGAGGCATCCCACATAAAATAGAGGAAGACTGGCACAGATGTCAGCTCAGCGACAATCTTCCTCAAGTGAAAAAAGAGGAAGATTGGCACAGATGTTAGCTCATGGTGAATCTTCCTCATACACACACACAAAAATAATTTCAAATAGTGGAACTGAGATAAAAAAAGCTAGATTGGTGTTTTTAGCCCTTGAAAGTAGAAAACTAGGGGCCACCCTGTGGCCGAGTGGTAAATTTCATGTACTCCGCTTTGGTGGCCTGGGGTTCCGCTGGATCAGATCCTGGGCGCCAACATGGCACTGCTCATCAGGCCGTGCTGAGGTGGTGTCCCACATGGCACAGCCAGAAGGACCTACAACTAGAATGTACAACTATGTACTGGGGGGCTTTGGGGAGAAGAAGAAAAAAAAATGAAGGAAAGTCTTAGATAAAACTTCAGAAGCAGGTCTGGGTCCATCTCTTCCCTTTTGTTATTATTCTCTAGCTACCTAGTGCCTGGAGACCGTTTGTGACCCTGGATGGTCTTGTTCTCCATCTTCTCTGGGGTCTCCCACAACTCTCCCTCTGCTGTTCTGAACAGTTCCGCTCTTCCCCACACTTGCATTTGACAGAGCAAAAGCCCTGCCATTACCCATGTTTGAGCATGCCCTTGAGGGCTCGCCCGTCCCCCAAATGACTTATCAATGTGTCTCTTCCAATCACTTGAATGTGAGCTCCCTGAGGGGGGAGACGGGCTGGCATCCTCACTGCCTACACCACGCCCATAGTAAGTGCTCAGTAAATATTTGTTGAATGAATGAATGAATATATGACTGAATGAACCAGAGAGAAGTTCTGCAAATACAGTGTTCTTAACCCTGTCCCATTTCCTGTGGTGTTTTAGTCCCCCTTAAAAATCAGCAGATTCCTGATTGGGCAAACCCTGGGTCCAGTTCTGAGCACCTCCCACTGCCCCATGTCAGCACAGGGAAGTCTCCCAAAGGAGATGTGTATTGAGCTGGATGGGTTAGTTTATGCTGCAGTAACAAACAACCCTCAAATCTCAGTACTTAAAACAGTAAGGTCATTATCTTCTCAAACTGCATGTCCAGGAAGGGTTGGCTGGGGCTCTGCCCTACCCTGTCCTTACTCTGGGACTTCGGCTGATGGAGTAGCCACCATCTGCTGATTGCTCATGCAGAGGAAAAGAGAGCATGTGGTGATTAACACTGGCTCTTAAAGCTCCCTACTGGCAGTAACATATCACTTTAGCTCACATTTCTTTAGTCAAAGC